TATGGTGCTATTGACATCTGGGTAAGGTCACCGGCTTCAAAGTAGCTGGTATTCACTCTTTATTATCTTTGCATTATTCGTGCTACAGAGCATTCTATATGTCACACTTTCTCTACATGTCAGCCCATTATTGCTGTGCCTATTCAGAACAGTGCTGCATAAGGCTCTGCATGAAGTTTGTCATTCTCTAAATTGGACATCTCATGTGCTCAAATCCCTGAGTTGTAATGGGGCAGATGCATTGCATAGATTCTTCCACTGACTGCCGTTGACTCTGCAGTATATTAGAGGCTTTTGGTAATCTGGAATTGGGAATGTCCATGGCTTTACTGCTTCTGAAAGACCCTCCTTTAGTTATGACACAGGAAGCTGAATATCTTTGCCATGTGCAGAATGGGGATAGCTGACCTTGGTACTCTTAAAGGGAATGCGAACAATTGCATCTGGCTCACCTCCTCCTCCTGCTCACTGGTATTTTGTGGCTTACCCAAGAGCAACTGACTAAGACTAATGCTGGCAAATCCTAAAGAATGTTGGGTCAACTATTATTTCTTGGTAGATTTTTTAAAAAATCAATCCCTTTATAAGGTGGAGACACAGGAGTTTATCCTGAGGAGGTAAATACACTTATTCTAATGATTCTCATTGTAATCACTCATTACCCCATATTTAGTTTTAATCTTCAATCAAATGCACACTAAAAGTTCAAATTTATTGTTGATCTATCTGTCTGCATTGGGGAATGTGACGTTTGTGTGTCACAGAATGCTACCACCATCCGCTTTCCTTTCACTGGGCCTAAGGGTTTAATTGATTTGCAGTGATAAAGACGATCAGCTACTATTGAGTTTTAACAAGAAGAGGATTTTGTCTTAACAAGATGTAGTTTATTGCATGATGGCAATTAGATACAAGTTACATTAATTTATTAGACATCACAACCAAGACAATGAGGAGACTTGTGGATATAGGACTGCACTCCATCACATCCTGAGATGTTCTTCCTAATTCTCACCCAAGTGACATAATCAGGTTGCATGAAACTTAAAGCAGTCTCCACAAAAGTGAAAAAGAGAATTAGTGACAGTACTGCAGTTCTTTATGTATATGTCAACTTGTAAAAGGTGTTCAAGAAAGCACCACATGATAGGCCTGTTGGCAAAATTGAAACTTGTAGAATTAAAAGTGACAGTGGCTATGTAGATAAGACAATCACTAGATGACGGAAAGCAGGGAGTGGAGGTGAATGGTTGCTTTTCAGAGTGAAGGGAAGTATACAGTGATATATATTGATCATCTGTGTTAGGGTATACAGGACACAATTTTGAATTTTGCAAATGATACAAACTTGGAAATGTAGTAAATAATGGGAAGGACAGAAAAAGTCTTCAGGAGGCATAGACTATTGAAATTGGCAGACACACAGCAGATGAAATTTAATGCAGTGAAGTGTGAAATGGTGGTAGGAAGAATGTCGAGAGGTAATATGAGCAAAAAGATATAACTTTAGAGGAGATGCAAGAGCAGAGATATCTGGGATGTGTATATATTTAAAGGTAGCAGGAAAAATTGAGAAGGCAGATAAAATGTACTAAAGATCTTTGGATTAAGAATGCTGGTTCTTACATAACTGTATCAGTTCATATTTCTTTGCAGTTAATTTAATTTGTCATGTGGCTAACCATTTCACCAGTCTGTCCTCCTGACTGACTATTCCTTTCACTGTTTAAAACATTTCTATATTGTCTGCAAACTTTGAAATGATCACAAATCCGGTGTATTGATTGGCAGAGCGGTACTCCTAATATTGATCCTGAGGCATCCTCTTGTTTACTTCCCCCCATTCTGAAAGACAATCATTCAGTAGTCTCCATTTTCTGTTCATTGAATCATACAGTATGGAACAGGCCCTTTGTTCCATCAAATCTGCCCCATCAAAAATACACTAAATCTACAATAGTCCAACTTTTCTGTACGAGGCCCATAACCTTGAATGCTATGACACTTCAATTGCTCATCCAAATACTTTTTAAAGGTTGTGAAGTTACCCACCTCAACTACTCCCAGGCAATTTATTCCAGACCCTCGGGAATTTTTTTTCTCAAGTCTCCTGTAAACCTCCCGCCTTTCACCTTAAAAGTGTGCCTTCTTCTAAGAGGAACAATTGCTTTCCACCCATCCTGTCCATATCCCTCATAATCTTATACACCTTCATCAGGTCTCCCCTCAACCTTCTCTTCTCTAAAGGAAACGACCCAAACTTATTCAGTCTCTTTTCATTGACAAGATGGTCTAATCCAGGCAAATTCCTGGTGAATCTCATTTGTTAACCCTCCAGTGTAATCACATCCTTCTTATAATGTGGTGACCAGAACTGCACACACTACTCCGTCTGGGGCATAACCAAAGTTCTATACAGCTCCAACATTACCTCCCTATTTTTATAATCTATGCCTCAACTGATAAAGACAAGTGTCGCATATGGCTTCTTAACTACCATATTGACCTACCCTGCCACCTTCAGGGATCTGTAGACAGGTTCTCCAAAATCCTTCTGTTTCTCTGAGCTTTCTAGTATCCTGTCATTCAGTGAGTGTTCCCTTGTGTTGTTACTTTTTCCAAAGTGCAACACTTATAAGGGTTAAATTCCATCCTCTACTGATCAGACCAATCCATTTATATCCCCCTATAACTTAAGACCTTCCTCCTCATTGTTAACCTCCTGGCTAATCTTTGTGCCATCTGCAAGCTCACTTTTCCTTCACCCCTCAACACCCCCAAACCGTGTAACACCCTCAACTTTATATTTTATGCATATCACAAAAAATAAGAAACCCAGCAATGATCCATTGGACACCAGCCTCCAGTCACGAAAACAGCCTTCTACCACCATCTTCTGTCCCATACCATTAAGCCTATTTTGGATCTAACTTGCTAACTTATCCCATGTGCTTTTACCTTCTTTATTAGTCTCCCATACAGGACCTTGTCAAAGGCCTTGCTGAAATAAACTACACCAACTGTACTGCCCTCATCTACACAACTGTCACCTCCTGAAAAAATTCAAACAGATTTGTTAAGCGTGACCTCACTTTGACAAAGCCATGCTGACAATCCCTGATCAAACCCTTCCTCTCTAAATGGAGATTAATTTTCTCCATCGGAGTTTTCTCCAAAAGCTTCTCTACCACTGATGCGAGATTTATTGGTCCGTTGTTCTCTCGTTTATCTCTGCAATTGTTCTTGAAAAGTGGAACCACATTAGATGTACTCCAATCCTCTGGCACCTCCACTATGGCCAGAGAGGAATTAAAAATTTAGGTCAAGGTCCCGGTGATTTCGTCCCCCATCTCCCATCCAGTCCTGGGGATTTGTCCACTTTTAAAGCTGCCAAAACCTCCAATATCTCCTCACTCTCTGTACAAGAATCTCACAGTCCATCATCTTCTCAAATTCTGAAACTACATCCTCCTCCTGAGTAAAGACAGATGTGAAGTAATCATTTAACAATTTACCAGTGTCCTTCATTCTTTAGCCAATTCTGTCAAACATGCTGCCACGTTAGTCAATGAGATTTAATTTTGCTAACAGATTTATTATGTAATGGGGTGCAAAATGCATCTTGAAATTTCGATACATACATCAAATGGACAATCATCAGGGAAATAACATTGCAATCCTGCAATCTTCAGGCAAGAATGCCTTATGAAAGTGATATTGGAAGATTGTGAGCAGAGCACTCATAATTCCCATCCTTACTCCCTCAGTAATCCAGGATACATGCTATATTTTATCCACATTGATAATTGCAAAAGTTTTAAAACAATTTAATTCTAATTTGAATTTTATTTTAATTTAAAAACAGTACCCCTTAGTTACGAAGTGACCCACATGAGGAAATGTCCTTTCCACATGCACCTCGTCAGGACCATTCAGGATTGTATGCACTTCAATTAAGTCACTCCTCATTCTTTTAAACTCCAGTGGAAACAAACCCAACCTGTCCAACTTATTCTCATATGACAACCGACAATTCTGAGTATCAATCTAGCAAATGCGCCCCAGTGAAGGTCAAACATATCCATGCAATATTCTAGTTTTCACTCAATGAGGCACAAATTCTTCATTAACTGATTCAGAGAAGAGAATGTTAGCACTAAGGTAACCCTTAGGCATAAGACATAAGAAACAGCAATAACATGGTACCTTTGAAAAGAGAAATAGAATGGATGTAATGTCTACACAGAAAAATTAAATCTCAGTGAAGACTGGACCAACCAAGAAAAAGTCATTTCAATTCCATTCAATGTCTTCTGCGCCTTGTCAAAGCTGTTATGAAATAAGATTGCCCCTTCAGCAGTCAACAAGTGGAGATTTATATTCTATCCATTGCAATTTAGTTAGTATTACTATTTTATCAACTTTGATAATTGATAGGTTATATGATAGAAGAGTGCTATGATAAGGTTGCAGTTTCAGCTGTTTCTTGCATTTTAATTGAGGTGATTAGAGACGCTGGAGGATACAGTAACAGGAGAAGGCTTTCTGTACAGAGGTTGAAGCAAAAAGACAGTCAGGAAGAGAGAGAGAGAACTCATTCAAGACTCAATGATAGCCAAACACAAAGAGAGACATGAGTAGGCAAGACTACATTCGGGATTGTCCATGTTGTTGGATTAATGCTTTCCATTAAGGGTTAACGGTTCCAATTAAATAGTGCAAAAATGTCATACAAATGCAGAAAGTGTCGACTATTATTGCTAATATTAATTTCTGGGTTTAGGCAGCAATGGGGATGACTTTGCAAGTTAGTAGACACATACAGGCACAGAAATCGCCCCGTGAGAGGCTGAAGAGCAGAGGAAGAGGCATGTGAGGAGGTGGATGCTGAGAGGCGACACACTGGCAGGGTGCAGGTGACGCCAGAGTGGGTGAGCAAGATACCCTTGGAAGGGTGCTGGCTGAGTGACGCCTGGAAAGTAGAACTTGGCAAAGTGGATTCTGCCAGTCATTGACGTAATCGCGAAATAACAATAAAAAGCGGATGACAGTGAATGGGACCAGCAGCTTCTCAACCCGCCTGTTTGATACCGAGCGGTGAGTACAGACTTGGTTGGGAGTCAGCAAATCCTCCTTAGTTCTGCTTGCATTCGATAAACAGTGAATGCATTTTTGTTTTGGTGCAAACATGCATTGCAACCTTTTTTTTTTCTTTTGCAGTTCAGAACTGTTCGAAGCACAGGATTTTCTTTTATTTAAAATGATGCATTTTTTAGAAAGTTATTCTGTCATGTTATAATGTTCCTAACTGGCGGCGCTCACTTATTCCCCGCAGCGCTTGGCTCAAGCTCCGTCCACTGTCCATCGGCAAGAACTTGCCCCCAAACCATTGTGAGGGAATGAAGCTGCCGTCGGTTTGCTGTATCTTATGCCTGTTGGTATGCCTGGCATTTCCTGATGCGGATTCTCGAGTCCAAGGCTCCTCGGTGGAGGTCAGAAGTAAGTGATCGCTTTATTCCTGAGTTGCATTAGTAAAAGGTCAGCGATCAGGAGATCTCTACAACTCGTCCGAACTAAATAAGAAAAAAAAGGGACAACTTTTGCCTAATGAGATTGTAAAAGGCAGTGGGATGAATAGTATTATAATGCTACCAAGTATCCTTTTCATTGCCTGGTTGTGGTCCGTGAGAGAGTGATGCTTGAGTTACATCGGGTCATTTTGCCCAGCCCAGGATGTTACCCATCTTCAACAAAAGACTTGTGCCTTTATAACAGCTTTAGTATAACAGCTTTAATAAATCCAAAGTGCTTCACAGAGGGCACAAATCAAATTTGACACCAAAAACTGAGGCATATTAGAGCAAATGGTCAAAGAGACAAATTTTAAAGAGCATCTGAAAGGAAGACTGGTAGAGAGGTTTAACAAGATAATTCCACTGTTGATGACTTATCAGGACATAATGTGTACACAGTAGCCAATATTCCAGATTAATGGAGGGGGAAGGAAGATGTGCAGACCTGGCAAGGGAGATTCTACTTCATTAGAGAAATTGTTCTCCCTTAACTGGAACCATGTTTCCTGTATGTGTGGAAATACTAACAACATACTAAAAATAAAATACTAACTTGCAAAGACCTAGCTGAATGTTGTTGAGTTGCTGCTAACATCGTGGCAATGTTAGAGCTTTGAACAACAGGAAACCTTATGCTGTACTTTATTGTAATTGCATTTAGGCTGCAGCTGGTCAGACAAACTCCACTTGATGTCAAGCTACATGCTGCAGGTTGCTCTGCAATAATTCTTTAAATGTAATCCATGCAACCTCATACCTTCACACTCTGTCTGGGGGATTTTAAAACCAAATCACTGAGTATTTTTTTATCTGTTACTAGCCCACTTTAAAAACATTTATGAAGTATTCTTGATTTAGAACATAAACTCTAGTTTATTATGTCATGTATGAAATTAAAAAGCTTCAAAGTTCTGTTTTACCATTAAGAAATAGCAAGATGGATGTTGTTTTTATCACTGCAATAGGATTTCTGTAAACTGTGGACTTTTGAAAATGGTTACCAAACACTATTTGTATTTTTTAAAAAATCATGGAGAAATCCAGCATGTTTTCAATCATCTATGGTAATTTGCTCTCAGTACCATTTTATTGGTGGGTGCCATTGCCACATTGATCAGAGTGCATTAGAAAGTTCAAAATCCTAAGGAAGAGGGAATAGGTTTGCTTCTCTGGGGATTTCTCACAGGACATTGCAGGGCCTTTCTGCCTGAAATTTAATCCTATTCAAAATAGTCCCTGCCAGTTACAGTAGATTCAAATAAAATTAATTTCTGTGACCTCAGTTCAGAACAGTTCTAGTCATCGATAACAGCACCTAATGTTGCACACAGTTCTGCACCATTATTGCTCCAAACTGTTACTGTCATTTTATAAATGCCAGTGGATGGCTCTAATGAGAAATTGTGCATCTGGAGCTGCTTCTCTTGAAGTTGCAGCAGAGGAATATTGAAGGTGCAGAGTAGGAGGAACTTAGTTGCCTCCAACTTGGGAACATACGTTGGGACAACATCAAAGGAACTTTGTCTTGCATCTCAATTGTGCGTCAGGATTGGACTCAGTGGGGTAGTATTATGGGAGAACTTTAGACAATGTAGGGAGAACCTCATCCTGCATTTAATCCATTCTGCATCTAAATTGGACAAGGTTGTCAAAGCAGAATAGAAATGGTTTAATTTTCAATCTTGTCTCCAACAAACATGACAGGGAAGTACAAACACGGGGCTCTGTACCCGTGCGCTGATGTTCTCAATTCATGATTTTAAAATTTGTCACGGAAATTTTTAAAACAGGAAGATAATTAGTATGTCAAATTATAAATGCTGGTGCAACTTTCTCCTAATCTCTTTTTTTGCTTTTCATCATTATATCAAAATTCTCCAGGAGCAGCCACAAGAGAAGTGAGGGTTGAGATTTGGTTTTTTAAAAAAGAACAATACAAGCTATTGCTCAGAAAAGATAAACAGAGATGATACACTGTAGGTCAATCGTAATTTGTATAGAGAAATTTAAAGTTAATGGAGCAAAATATTTTGAGATGGTGCTTCTTTCAACCTCATTTACATTACAGCACTACTACAAATTTAACAACCCCCAACTTTTTAAACTCATAAATTAAATGTCATGATTTTATATCTGCTGTGCATTTTTGGAGTGGGGAAGAGGATGGCTTGAGAGGGAGCTGTTGGATGCAGTTGAAGCATGAACAAATTACTCTTCCAATACCCCAGTATATAAAAGAACCACACAATGTTGCATGAAAACTATAGGCAAGACCCAAGTTTAATCCTTGGGCTTTGCTGCATTGGTTCATCCTACTGAGGACAATAACCAATACGCTACTAATTGGTCCAGGAAGGAATAAATTTCAAAGATCCTGAACCTGATTTTTTTTTTCCAGAGGTCTATATCAGAAAGTGAATATAGATAAGGTTTTTGTAAGAGGACAAAATCAAGCTCAATTGTGTTAACTCTTTCAGTTATGTAGCTCTCCTGTATTTATTGCGCATGGTTGTAGCGAAAATGACCTCTTAGTTGGGGTGCAAAAGCACTCTATTTTGGAAAGTTAAATATTTGAAGTGAAATGTGATAAAACTGGCAGCTGAAAAGAGTGAAAAAGACAAAATAAATGAGAAAGCAGTGAACAACAAGACCAAGTTTGGGTTTTAAAGTCTTGCCATTCTAGGAGGAAATGAATAATTATAAGTACAAGACAAAAGAAAGAAAGATAATGTTACACAGGTAGCTTTGCCGACTATCTCAACACAGTTGGACATTCTTGTTGACTTAGCATTGGTAAGAGCATTTTTCCTGCCCCACAGAAGAAATGACACTGCTGATGAGAACATTAAATGATTATTAAGAGAAGGGATTTTTTTGGTTCTATTTTTGTTCATTGCTTTGAATGATAATGCATACCAGTCAACTTAAAATCTATTTAATTTTGAAGTTGTTTGAAAATATGAATAAAATTAAACACATTGCCTTAAAACCTGTGGTGCTGATTGAAATTTGTAACTTGAAAACACGGTTTGAACAGAAGCCCTTGGATTCAAGTGCTCTGCAGGATTCGTTAAATTAGTGGATTTTAGCTTGTAAAGGGGAATAGTTTATTGTGTGATTGGTAAATTGTACTATTGGCATATTCAGCTCCTATTTTTAAATCAGTTTAAAATTGTCTATTAAATTACTAAAGAATGGTTTGATAGTAAACTTCCACCTAATTGAACACGCATCGCATAAGTGTTTTATGCTTTTAGTCAGTGTTCCAACTGAATTGTATTTATATTGCTAGATGTGACATATTAATATACTAACGTACTGCCTTATACTAATCTACATCAGCATAGGTCACATGGCTAATCTTGTGAGACCCCGCTTAGGTATCCCAGGCTCCTTAAGTTTGTAAATAAGGGCCTTATGCTCACCAAAGGCCCTTATTGTACTGTTATGTAGCCCATTCAAATATTGCTTCCATGATTTATCTGGCAGGACAGTCAAAACTTTAAGTTTTCATTTGGACTGTGGCTGTATTGACCAACATGTGACAAGTGTGTTGCTAAGTCCCAAGGATCAATTACTGTTGATTCCAGTGTGTTTAGCTGCAAAACTATTCCAGACTAATTTCGACTCCCTTGGAACTAATTGAAGTTTTTCAACATTGTGAATAGAATTAGCAAGGTTGATCAAAATAAATTGTTTATTGATCAAAAAAAGTAATCACAAGATTTAGCAATTGTGGAATAAGGGAATTCAACTGGAACATCATATGGCGGATATCGGAGTTTAGCGATAAATTAGAGGAGGCCATTAAATGCAAGTAGTATAAACACAGAGTGAAAAGGTTCAAGAGTTGTGGATTTTGTCAGTGAGGGCAAGGATTGGGGCATGTAATAAAAAGTTGAATAACTAGAATGGAGATCAAATGAAATATGAAAATACTGTTGACCTTAATGGCTTTCTCTTGCACCTAAGACTTCAAGAATCCTTATTTCTATATATTTGTTAGATTAAACACTTTGCAGAAGCTTTATCTTACTTTTCATATATATAATCATTATCCATTTTAAGCAAAAACTTTTTAAGTTTACTTAAATCCCTTGATTTTGATTTATGTTTGCATATGTAGGCTTCTGAAAGGACAGGTGGGCATCTGTTGCCAGGTCAACACTAGTGCCACTGTAATACCAGGAAGTGTACAAAACAAGCTGGTTACTATTATTTTCCTGACCTCATATTTTCCTCCCTTTCATATGAAGATGTTTGATCCATGTCTTACCTTCCATCAGTTTTAAGATCAAGAGCTTCCCCTGCACAACAGTAGCTTTTGATGTCCGTTTTAAAACTCCTTTCCACCCCTTATAGAGTCATACAGCATGGAAACAAACCCTTCGGTCCAACCAGTCATGCTGACCATGTTCCCAAACTCTCCCGATCCCACTTGCCTGTGTTTGGCCCATATCCCTCCAAACCTTTCCTGTTCATGTACTTATCCAAACGTCTTTTAAAATGTTGTAACTGTATGTACATCCACCATTTCCTCTGACAGTTCATTCCACACATGAACCAATGTCTGTATAAAAAAAAAAGTTGCCACCATATGCTTTTTAAAACTTTCTCCTCTCACCTCAAAAATATGCCCCCTAGTTTTGAACTCCCCCACCCAAGGGAAAAGATCTTTGCTATTCACCCTATCTATGCCTCTCATGATTTAATAAACCTCTATAAGTCACCCGCCGGCCTTTTATGCTCCAATAAAAAAAGTCCCAGCCTATCCAGCCTCTTTTTATAACTCAAACCCTCCATTCCAAGCAGCATCCTGGTAAATCTTTTCTGAACCCTCTCCAACTTCATAATATCCTTCATATAGCAGGGCGACGAGAACTGCACTCAGTGCTCCAGAAGAGGCCTCACTAACGTCCTGTACAACCTCAACATGACTTCCCAACTTTTATACTCAGAGGTCTGAACAATGAAGGCAAACATGCTAAACACCTTCTTAACCATCCTGTTTACCTGTGATGCAAATTCCAAAACTCTAGGTCTCACTGTTCTGTAACTTTAGCCAGGGCCCTACCATTAATTGTATAAGTCCTGCCCTTCCTTTTCCAAAATGCAAACCTTGCATTTCTCCAAATTAATCTCCATCTGCCACTCCTGAGCCCATTGACCCAACTGATCAAAATCTCTTTGTAATCTTAGATAACCTTTTTCACTGTCCACTACTCCACCAATTTTGGTGTCATGTGCAAACTCACTGACTATGCCTCCTATATTCTCATCCAATTTTTTCATATAAATACAAACAAAAGTGGACTCAGTACCGATCCTTGTGGAACACTACTGGTCACAGGCCTCCAGTATGAAGAACAATCCTCCACCACTACCCTCTTTCTCCTACCATTAAGCCAATTTTGTATCCAATTGTCAAGCTCACTCTGAATCCCATGTGATCTAACTTTACCAAATAGTCTACCATGCAAAATCTTGTCAAATGGTTTACTAAAGTCCATGTAAACAGTGTCTACTGCTCTGCCCTCATCAATCTTTTTTTTTTGATTACTTCCTCAAAAACTCAATCAAGTTTGTGAAACAAGATTTCCCTCACACAAAACCATGCTAACTATCCCTAATCAGTCCTTGCTGCCCCAAATGCATGTACATCCTATCTTTCAGAATCATTGGCACAGTGGCTAGCAATGCTGCCTCACAGCGCCAGGGACTCGGGTTCAATTCCACCCTCGGGTGACTGTCTGCGTGGGTTTCCTCCGGGTGCCCCGGTTTCCTCCCACAGTCCAAAGATGTGCAGGTTAGGTGAATTGGTTGTGCTAAATTGCCCATAGTGTTCAGGGATGTGTAGATTAGGTGGGTTATAGGGGGATGGGTTTGGGTGGGTGTTCTGAGATTCAGTGTGGACTTGTTGGGCCGAAGGGCCTGTTTCCACACTGTAGGGATTCTATGATCTATGAACTTACCCACCACCGATATCAGGCTCACAGGTCTATAATTCCCGGATTTCTTCTTACAGCCTTTCTTAAATAAAGGACCCAACGTTAGCCACCGTCCAGGCCCTTGGCACCTCACTTGTGGTTTTAAATGATACAAATATTACTTTTCGGCTCTGCGCAATTTCTTCCCTAATTTCCCACGATTTTTTTTTCTTTCATTCATTCATGGGACAAGGGCATCGTTGGCTAGGCAAGCATTGCCCATCCCTTGAGGGCAGTTATGAGTTAGCCACATTGCTGTGGGTCTGGAATCACATGTAGGCCAAACCAGGTGAGGATGGCAGTTTCCTTCCCTAAAGGACATTAGTGAACCTGATGGGTTTTTCCTGACAATCAGTAATGGATTCACAGTCAGCATTAGACTTTTAACTCCAGGTGTTTCATGAATTCAAATTCCATCATCTGCCGTGGCAGGATTTGAACCCAGGTCCCCAGAACATTACCTGGGTCTCCGAATTAACGTTCCAGCAATAATACCACTACGCCATTGCCTCCCACTTGATCGGGTCCCAGAGATTTGCCACCTTTATGTTTTCCAGGACCTCCAGCACTTCCTTTTCTGTAATGTGAACTGTTTTCAAAACATCAATATTTATTTCCCTGAGTTCTCTAGCCTCCACTTCTCTCGCCACAGTAAAAACTGATACAAAATATTCATTTAATATCTCTCCCATCACCTGAAGTTCATCACATAGATGACCTCGTTGATCTTTAAGGGGCACAATTCTCTCTCGAGTTGCTCTTAATGTACACATAGAATCTCTTTGCATTATCCTCAACCTTATCTGCCAAGGCTCTCATATCCTCTCTTTGCCATCTGGATTTCCCTCTTAAGAGAGCATTTGATTTCCGTTGTCCATATCTAATAAATGATTCTTTCTTATTCTTGACTAGAACCTCACCATCTTTATTCATCCATTGTTTCCAAATGTTACCAGCCTTAACCTTCACTCTAACAGGTACATAATGCCTCTGAACTCTCGTTATGATACTTTGAAAGCCTCCCACTTGTCAGTTGTCTCTTTACCTGTGAACAGTCTACTCCAGTCAACTTCTGAAAGTTCTTGTCTGATACCATTAAAATTTGCTTTAGTCCAATCAAGGACTTTACAGAAGGCTTATCCTTTTCCATTGCTATTAGAATTATGATCACTAATGTTTCCCTACTAACACTTCAATCACTTGCCTTGCCTTGTTACCCAAGAGAAGGTCAAGTTTTGCTCCTGCTCTTGTAGGTACATTTACATATTGATAAAGAAAATTTCTTGAACACATTTAACAAATTCCTTACCATCCAAGCCTTTAACTCTATGGCAGTCCCAGACAATGTTTGGAAAATTAAAATCCCCTACTGTTACAACTATATTATTCTTACTTATATCTGAGATCTCTCTACATAATGGTCCTCAATTTCCCTCTGATTATTGGAGGGGGATTGCTATCATACATTCCCAACAAGTTGATCATCCCTAACGTCAAATGAACAGTTTGCTAATGCTCATAATCTTGTTCTAGACATATAAAATATAGAAACTGCTGAAAATTACACAAAGGCAAGGCATAAAAGACTTCTGACACCCTTGGAACTTATGGATCACTATCTTCATGACCAGAGGCATATCATTTTGAAGTAAAGTGAAAGACATTCTGATGTAGACATTTTTTCATTGCATTATATGAGCTGTAACAGGTTACAAATGCTGTTTATATAAATCTTCACGCCTTGTTCACAGATGCTGATATTGATTCCTCTTGGTATACTGGACGTGGAATAAGGCCTGTGGGCCGTTTTGGAAGGCGAGGACTAACCCTGGAAAACATCAGGAAATATGAATTTGGCACTCGTCGTGTCTGTATCCCAATCGAAGAAAGTGAAGAATCCAACCAGGATGATTAAATTAAGCTCCTGCCTATAACTCTATTCTCACAAAGCCAGTTTCATTATTTCTCAACTTTATTTCTGTAATTGTGTAATAAAAAAACTCTCAAATAACTATCAAAATGTGAATAGTATTAAAAAGACAAGGTTCATCATGTGTGCAAAAGCAAAACTTTAATGTTGACTGCTGAAACTTCAACTAAAGTAGTTTTAGAGTTTCAACTCAATTAGAAATCAATGTGCATCCACACTTCTGTGCCTACCATTGTCATTTGGTGTTATTTGCCAGGATTATAGGGAACTGTTTAAGAAATAGCCAAACCATGTCAGAAATTGTGGTACTACATTTCCCTAAACCTGTAATTCTCACTCATGTCTTCGATTTCCATTAGCTGTTTCTTTCAACTACATTTCTTTTCTACTTATTTTCCTGTTTTCTTTCTCTGCATAATTTTGATTCCTCTTCAGTGATTTTCATTTCTTTTTCAGTTGTTGCATTTTAAAAATGTTTTGCTCAGATTCAGCACCAAAACTATTCTTTTCAGCAAAAGTAATGAATATATAATTTGATGTTAACCCTACCTTAAGACTGTCCTGCATTGAGTAAGGTTTGTCAATATATGTGAAATGCAAAGTTTCCTATATTGTGGAAGCACTGATGAAGACATTTCAAGCAAAATATTGGTAAGATCATAGCATTATGTGTCTTCATGATTCATACACCTGCTACTTTGACAGTAAATTGCCATCTTCTGTTCATAGTAGCCAAAACATAAAATAGAAGAAAACTAACAGTGGTGTTCTTCTATAGTTATGCTTAAGGTACCTTATTGGTACAAAACAGAGAGCTTTTTATTCTACCTTTCACTTATGTTGTACCTTCCTGAAAGTGCTTGTTGGCATTTAGATTTCAAATCTGGAAAGTTTTTCCTCTATAAGTGTTCGTATCTCTCACTACTATAAACTTAAACCAATTTAACAATATTTCTAAGGATTTTTTGTTAACTTTTTATGACTTTTAAAGCAGTGTGATACAAAGCAGTGAGTCTGAGTCCTGTATTAGTGTTTGCAACAACCATTTGGGTCAGAAATCTAATCTACCAATTTTCCTATTTTTTCCAAGGCTTTCACTAGTTCTTGGCGAGATAGTTGTTGTGTCACTGTGGAACATTGTATCAGGCTATTGCATTGCCCCCAACCAAAAATGCCATTTTAATGATGTTGGTGTGTTTCCCAATAATTGAGGAAGGGCGGGGGGAAGGAGTGTAGTTTAAGATAAAGTGACAATTTTACTGTAGGAATAAATTGATCCTAATTCAATTTTTTGCCTCTTCATGTCAACCTTGCTTTGTGTTCCTTTCCAGCTTATTAACCTAGTCCATTTGTATACATAATATAGCCAGCTGTTCATTTCTCTTCACCTATAGCTTCGTAGTGCTTCATTTGTCTCTGAGCTTAGCCTTGGGACATTAAGAACAAACATTCAAAAGCATTGTCTTCCCTTGCTCTCCTAAGATTGCTTTAATATAATTATCAATCCCTTTCCTCTGGAGAAGTATCTGACATCCATTTCATAGTCTAGGGTTACTAAGAAACACAGCCAGCTGTGATGGTTGCTTTATACAAAAACTCCTGTCAACAAGTTCAAAATGTGTGGATGTCAAGAGAAGACAGGTTTTGAACATGGATATAGTAACATCCAGAAAAGAATTGTATTCCACACTACTGACATTGCTAAATGTAAAGTGCAAAATGTATATTGAATAAAGACCATCTGTCAAATGCTTGAAATAGGATGTTTACAGTAAACACCTCAAGCTATTTGATCTTAAAGATAAAATACTGTTGGAACATCTGTTGCCTCTGAAGTTCAGCAATTTCATTTTCCTTTTCAGAAGTACCTTTGTGTTAATTCTGCATTTTATGAGGTTGTGGTGTGATTGTACATTCAGGTGAAGCATGTACTGTGCAGAAAGATTACATGTTGTTAGAAAAGTTTTATTTAAAGGAGTTTCAACTGTAAGTACCAATTTTAAGTATTGCAAGACTAGAACTACTTTTTTCCTGCTATTTTTCATTAATGTTATCATTCATTTTATTAACATTATCATTGGAGAACTAGTCTGAAGAAGTTATTGAGCTCGTAGTGGGTGGAAACTGGTTTGAACATACACACATAATAAAGCAATACTCCTCTGTATCTCATTGTATTCCACTGTTCATCTTGCTCCTCTGTTTTGCAGATTAGGTGACTAATGCTCCCTGTATTGATGGATTTTATCAACCTCTGCCTATTCTGTGACATTATCCAGCTGCTGCCTTCTAATCTTTTGCTATCAATTGTTTTCAGTTAGATAATGTGCCCACATTAAGAATAATTCCATGATCTGGTGTTCCCAATGGACCGTTCTCTATTGCAGAGTTACCTATAATAGATTGCCATACTTATCCTCTGTCTTCTCATAGTAATTCAAGAGTCCTTCTTAAATTACACCGACTGATTCATCTGTAGCACAATAACTCAAAAACTTCCACTCTGCAGAGCCATATTTAACCACAGAACACTTGAGTATTACACATTATTATCAGCCTAATTTTACAATTATACAGAAATGTCTTCAGGTTGTGAAACAACTTTTTCAATTGTTCTGTTTTATTTGTCCATCTGTTAGCCTGCGAAACGAAACAAATTGATCAACTTTGTTGATTTCAATTACTAATTGCTTAAAGCTTTCCTTGTGTTGTGATTACCATTGATTTTTGTCTTAATTTAACTTAAAATAAATTCTAAACATCTGATTTACTTTCTGCCCTCTTGCAGTACTTTGGTTCAACTAATCTGCAACCCAATCAATCACTACTTTGCTGTATTCCGATACCAGGTTTTGATATCCCTTTTTATGACCCTCTGTGCGTCTTTCGCCATTGGGAAATGCAGAGTTATACGGCAGGAGTTGGGCCTGACTGGGATGCTCATTGGAGTAGTGGTGTGGACTCCATGGGCCAAATGGCCTGTTTTCACCCTATAGGGATTCTATAAAATTCAACTTTAGGCATCACGTGGAATTCAGATACCTCTCCGAGTAAGAATAATGCTTTAAATGCCTTTAATTGCTTATTAGGTTATACTGAGTTCTTACTCTGAGTTCTGAGGAAGGGTCACCGGACCCAAAACGTTAACTCTGTTTTCCCCTTCACAGATGCTGCCAGACCTGCTGAGCTTTTCCAGAAACATTGTTTTTGTTCCTGATTAACAGCATCCACAGTTCTTTCGGTTTTTATATAGGAAAAATGTTGCAGTTTTGTTTTTTTAAAAGTGCCAATGACATGATGATTTTGAAAGCAAGTGTTTTTGGGGTAGTTTATTTTCAATATGGTCAAAACATTACTATTCCCATTAGTAGTGTGCAATTGAAAATAGAGATCTTCTTATTTCTATTGCACTTTTGTTATTAGTTTATTTTTCTTGACCACTTAAGTTATACACAACTCAAATGATGATGTGCAAGCTTCGATGTGCCAAAATTCAATTCAGAATGCAATTGTATCTCCTTGGAGACAGGGCTACGAATCTAGCTCAGGCTGTCATGAAGGAGTACCCTTTCTAGCAGATAGTGCGTTCATTAAAATGAGCATATGGTGTTTACAACACATCAGCTGTACAGGCAATTAATGGCACGGAAGAACACAAATTAGGTATTCAGCTACAGAGAAGGCGTTCCTGACAGAAGAATTTGTCAGATAAGACAGAGAATATTCAAGACGACATAACCTGGCTGTAATTTTGACAGACTAAATTCCAATCTTTTAAATTTTGTTTTATACAAGTGCGACTTATACTTATTGGAACAGCATACCATTATAATCTTGTTCTTTTCATGAATATTGAGTAGTCAGGAGAGGTTTATTCAGTTTGTATTTAGTTCATTTGTTCACTGTTTGAGTTAGATATATAAATTGTTACTTGTTGATTATAAAGTGAGTGTCAGGGGTTTATTTTATTTAACCACTCCTTTATAACAGATGATAGGGCGAGGCACACCTCTCTGGGTGTTTCAGTTTTAGTTATCTTGGGGGGGGGGGGGGGGACCTCTGCTTTATAATTTAAAATACAACCAGAATGTACTGGTTAAACATAGCAGTTTAGGCAGCATCCACACTGAAAGAAACCAAATCCAGTAAGCTCCTTCTTCAGGACTGAATAGGACTGGAAGAGTGATAGTTTCCAGCTTTTGAATAATTGGGATGAGGAGCAAATAGATAGTAAAGGTGCCCACAGCAAAAGTGAGTACTAAGGTAATCAATGAATATATGATTTGTCACATATATTTAGGGAAATACAGCAAAAGGTGCAGTCACTACAATCTGGTGCCATTTACAGCTACAAAAGAATAAGGAAGTACTTAAATACAACTCATCCTCATCAGCCAGGGTCCCAAACACACCTCTAGGACTTCTGTAAGGTCCGTGCTCGGTCGTACAGCAGCCAGGAGTCCCCACTCTGCCCTCACTGCAGCCAATATCCCGCTGTCACCATCAAGAGTCCACGCAGCAGACCTATGAACCGGGAGTTATTGCCAACACTGCTCCAGTTTTCTACAAGAATTGAGAGCCTGAATACTTAGCTGAAATAGACTTGATTTCCCCTCCAAAGGCCGAAGCCCACAGTTTTACCACATTGAAGAGAATCTGTTGCTGTGATCCTTTTGCTTGTACCTATGTAATACTGAAAGATGTCCAAGTAATAGTTTTAGTTAAGGAGTAGGTATTAAAAGTTGCATTAATAGCAGAACTTTCCCATGCAAACAAGAAACAGCAATGGGGTGAGGAAGCATAATCAAAACGAAAGATAGATTTGAATACAACGTTGAGTCCTGAAATCAGTAAAATTTCTAAGCAGAGGAAGAACATAGAACATAGAACAGTACAGCACAGTATAGGCCCTTTGGCCCACGATGTTGTGCTGAACTTTTACCTTAATCCTAAGGTCTATCTAACCTCCACCCCTACCTTATACTATCATCCATATGCCTATCTAACAGCCGCTTAAATGCCCCTAATGAGGCCGACTCCACTACCCTCTCCGGCAATGCATTCCACACCCCGACCACTCTCTGAGTAAAGAACCTACCTCTGATGTCTCCCCTATATCTACCTCCACTCACTTTAAAACTATGCCCTCGTAACATCTACCTCCACCCTAGGAAAAAGTCTCTATCTGTACCTCTGATCATTTTGTACACCTCTATCAAGTCACCTCCCATCCTTCATCATTCTAAAGAGAAAAGCCCTAGCTCTCTCAACCTTTCCTCGTAAGACCTTCCCTCCATTCCAGGCAACATCCTGGTAAATCTCCTCTGCACCTTTTCCAAGAGATGCTTTCTTCCCCAGCTTGCACTGGGCTTTGCCGGAAAACTGTAGCAAGCCCAACCACAGAGCAAGATGGTGCTCTGAAATCGCAAATAACAGGAAAGTCAGGGTCATTCTTGTGGTAGGACCAGAGATTTTCTTCAAAGTGGCCTGGTGTGGTCAATGGGGAGCAGCTTACAGTGTGAGCAGCAAATACAGAAGGCTGGAGTTAAAGTACTGGCACGAATTACAGTTCCACCTACAAAGTGCGTTGCGGGCCTCAGACAGTGAACAGGGATTAAAGTCGTGTTACACCGTCTGCCATTGTATGGGAAGGTGCTGGGAGCGAAGAGATGGACGAATGGGCCAGTGTCCCGTGGGGGGGGGGGGCAAGACCTCGCAGTCCCCTTCCCTTTCATTCCAATCCGAAAAGAGATTTCAAAAGAAAACCCGACAGCGTTGATATAAATCAGCTCAGTCCACTCGTCGTTCAAACCCGAAAACCCCACGCTACACCACAGCACAGCATGGCGGCGGGCAGTACGCACGCGCAATGCCAGCGGCGTCGGACGGCCCGGCCCTTCGCGAACCCGCTCTGCCCCGCGCACGCGCCGTGGCGTGCGATGCCGTCCATCACATCAAGAGCCCTCCGCGCCGCGCCTGCGCAGAGCCGGCAGTCTTTCCCACCCCACAGTGCCGACAATCCTCCATCACCACCCACAGCAACATTGGGGTCGGAGCATGCGCGGTGACGGCGGCCCGGCCCCCCTCCATGGCGGATGTGTTGGAGTGAAGACGAGGTTGAGTAGACTCGTTCCGGTGTTTTCGCCGCTGTCTGTCTGTCCGGCTGTGGCCTCTGTCCCGCGCACTCGCTGCCTCTCAGCTTGTGGGAGCTGCCGCTCCCGGGAGGAGTGGTTGGGGGGGGAGCGGGAGGGGTTTGGGCAGGAGGTGGTAGGTAGGTAGGTAGGTAGGTGTTGGAGTGGGGGAAGAGAGTCAGAGAGAGACGATGGGGAGGCGAGCTGAGCCCCCACCAGGCGCTTATTAAGTGAAAGTTGTAGCGCAACAAAATGGCGAGAAACTATCGAAGGGGGAGGAGTTGGCTGCTACCTGGCTGTGTGGCTGGGCCTCTACCAACGCCACACACCACCACCCGCCCCCGACATCCATCCCCCCTCCCTCCTCCACAATGCGCGCAATGTCATTGCTGCATGTTAAAAGAAAGGGACATTTTAAAAATATTAACTACCATAAATCAATATTTAAATCAGTGCCCGTGCAAAAAATGGTGCCACCTCCCTTTCTCCAGCAGGTAGTGTGGATTTTCACTGTCAGCTCGTGGGATGGTGCAGTCTAGTTGATCCTTCCGAAAAGCTCAGGCCACGTTTTATCTTTTAGGGATGTCACCAGTCAAATGCCATAGAGTAGGGTATTGAACTGTAATCCTAAAATTTGCCAGATGACGTCTGTCCCTCTGAAGCAAAACTTTGACACAAAAATATGCTTTTGACACAAAATATGCATAGTTGGTAGAATGTAAATCTTGAAACACTGGTTAAAATTTTAAATCCATAATTAAAAACATTAAAATTGAAATATTTCCACGCTAAACCAGTTGCGTTGCCAGTTCTTAAAAGCTTTTGGAAGAGTTCCAGTAATGAGGTTTCATTAAAATGCCTCAATCATTTAGTTAAATAATTTAGATGGAAGAATTTAATGCGATGGGGATTAAGAGGAAAAAGTCCCTGAAATGGTTACTGATGTGAGGAGGAGGTATTTATAATAAAGCACCAAAATATATCACAGGCAGGTTTTGTTTCAACAAATGTCTTATTTACCAAAGACAGTTAATGCCTTGCTTAATTGAATGTCTGGTATGATTGTGTGATTACACATTTGTGCACCTGTTTGTTCTTTGTTTATAAATACTTGTGAAAATATTTTTACTTTTTCCATAAAATTAACGTTGCTGAAAATAAGCAACATTATACAAGTGCTTTCAAGCTGAAACATTTGGTTGTTTGGTAGGGTCCTTTTAGGTTTTCATATTTCTGAAAAGTTTTGTGATAAAGCTGCAATGTTGTATGTTGATATAAACTGCATCCAATTCTCGTGCTATTATGATTTTTAATCTTAGATTCCAAATTATATTTCTTCAAGGTAGCACATTCAAGGTATCACCTAGGAACCAGATGAAACTACTACAGGGAGGCTTGTCTTGATTTAATCCTTGGAGAGATGAAACTAAAACAGGGAAACTTTCTTGATTGCCCTTTGGAGCAATGCCTGATATTCATAATCCACAACATTGTGGTTGACATTGGAGACTCAGCATGTGAAGAATCATATACCTGTGTCAGGTCATGTATTTGTGCATGTGTCCTAACCACAACGTGGCACAGTCTGCTGAGTCTCTGACGTATGAATTTCTGTAGGATTTTTGGTGTAGGGCTGTTAAAGTGCCAATCAAAAATAAATAAACTCAAGGGAGATCACGTTGTTCTTGCTCACTTGGGATCAAATGGCTTTGTAAAATTCTGATGTGCTTGAAATACCAATTCTAGTATGTAAAGAAACACTGAACTCCAGATAAATTTTAGGAAAATGTGTGAGATAATGAGCACAAATTACTGTATCAAACTTTTTTCTAGGTGTTATGTCCCTACAGTACTTCACTCTAAATCTTATTCCAGCTGAGAAGCCAGTAGCCTTTTTATTTTGAATGTATATGGCTTGATAACCTTATTTCTATTCTTCGCCTATTCAATTCCCATGTGAGTGGGGAGGATGTTCCAAAAGGACATGGCTAATTTTAAGACCCCTCAGTGAAATGGTGACCCAACCTTGAGTATGCTTGTCAGTTGTTGTAGCTATTCCATTTAGTATTTGTTCCACCAAGTAACCCGGTTTTCTATGCCAACATATTTTAAATGCCACTGTAAGTGTCCGTCAGACATTTTGCAATGGAAATGTATGAAATGTTATCACCTTAATAAAATGTGCTTGTTTATAATCTATTGCACTGTAGTAAAGGTTCTTTTTCTTTAAAAATAACTAATGAACAGTGAGCTATCATGAACATGGTTTTTGTTTTTTTTTGTTTGAAACTGGGAGTATTATTAATGTTGAGAGCTAGTTGATGCAAGTTACTTGGGTGCTACCAGGGAACTGAACTAATTTGAGCAGAGATGTAGTATGTCAGCTAGGAGAAGTTGTAAAGCCTTAAGTGTGGGAGCTAATGTAATGTTAAGAAATAGCTGTTAACCTTGGACATTCACTTCCAACTGTGTTAATTTATCTTAGAACATGAAGCTTTGTAACAGCAAACTAATTACCATGATACTGACTGCTTTAACAAATCCTTGGTGATCATTCTGAAAAAAATCTTGTGTGGGATCTTATAATATTTATTTGACAGTCATTTTAGAAACTTCAAATTGCAAGTAAATTTTTGCTTGAAGAAATTGTTACGTATACCGTTGTATTTGTTATACTACCATAAATTCCAATCAATACAAAGGTGTCCTCATGGCTGCAAATCCAAAATAGTGTCTCTTGTGTGACTGGAGCATATTTGAATATAAAATATTTGTGCCTCCTGTCATTGTTCTTGATAAGTGTTTGCTTGAGGGGTGTGATAGTGGAAATTATCATATCTGTTTCCCAAGTTTCCTGGGAAGTGAGATCAGAGGCACCGTGCTAATCTAATGCATTTCAGTGTAGATCATGAGATGTTATACAGGGGTGGGGAGAAAATCAATGAAAGAGACTCTGATTGTTCTTGCCCACTTTTCAGTGACCAGATTCAATGCATTATTTTGTGTTATCTAGGATTTTGTTGGCTACCATCTGTGTCAAAATGGGACACTAGAGACCAAAAAATGCTGAAGATGAATAACTTAAACTCTTTATGTAATTTTTGCTTCTGGTTGCAAACCAATTTTCTCACTTTAACCACAGCAAGCATTTTATAGTTTTGCTAACATCCAACGTGAAGGACTTTTATTAAAGAGTACATACTGGAGTAGCTAATGATGCTATATTCGATTGTATTTTTTCAGAGGAGCTGAAATAAAACACATGCATGACAAGTTGAGCATTTGGATTGAGGAATGAATTTGTTTTAAAGAATAAATCTACTGATGGAAATCAATGAAAATTTGGACGTTTTTGTTATAATGTTCTTCGGCCCTCTATTGGCAATGTTATGTAATGGAGAACTGTTTGACAGTTCAACATTTTTTTTTAACCACAGCCTTGTTTGCTTCTGTTTGTTGCCTCTGTCCTTTTGAACATCCTCATTCATTCTAATGATCATTTCATTAGGAGCAAAACAGAAAACAATCAGGTTTGAGAGCGTCTGTCAAGAGAGAAATAAAGTTAATGTTTCAGGTTACTGGCTTTCACCAGAGATGCTAGCTGTTTTCTGATAACCTTTCCATATGGCAATTTTTCATGAATAAATCTGGACAGTGAATATGGGCAAGCAAAATATCGCAGCTAAGGTTGTGACCCTGTTTTCATCCAGAAAGCACACATGAACTTTCTGAGATAATCATTCTTCCCCATTGCAACAATGACTACACTCTAACAGTACTTCGGAAAACTGCTTTGAGACATCTGGTTATGAAAAGCACGATATCTTTTTAGAGGTGTTGTTGTGAAAATCAACTGAGGAAAGATAACAGAATAACTTTTATTAAACAAGAAAAATGATACATTTCGGCCAGAGTGAAATATCTTGTGGCTGTTGTAAGCAGAAAGTACATTGTATAATGTTTCATTTAATATTTCTACTTGAGAGGGGCACATCATAAGTTTTAAAAAAAAAAGCTGTTTAGTGACATTTTACCATGTTGTATTTATTCCAATTTGTGTACATAATTTTTAATTAGTAAATAACTGGATTTGGCTTTTGATGTTAAAACTCGGGCTGCTTTGGGGGAATGATACCTTGGTCATATTTTTGTTAGTTGGCATTTGGATGCTGAGGATGAAGTGGCTTCATCTATTCATGAGCAGGCTATTAGGAAAGGAATGCTGTGTACTAATTATAGGAAGAGAATGCAGTACAGTTGTACTGGTGCTTTCTGCTTACTAGTACACTGGTGGAGAGGCTTGTTTTTTGTTGTTTAGGCTATATCTATGAGTTTGGAGTGAATGTCTAAATATTCTTATAACCTACTTTTTGTGCTGTTGATATTCCAAAGTGCGATTGCAGTACAAGTCAGAATGAGTGAGTTTAAAATTGTAAGTGGACTTATCAGAAATACTTCTTGGTTAGTTATCTTTAAAAGACAAAATTATGTCCAATATACAGGAAATAAGTTTGTGTCATGCTCTAGTTTTGAGTCACATTTGTCAGTTATACATTTGGAAGAGAACATATAGATGTAGGATAGTACAAACAATTGGTCTGGCTTGTTGTAGTGTACTTGTGTTGCGGATCACGGATGCATTATGCTTCTAAGAAGAAAGCTTCGTATAACGTCTGTGTATCTATACTCCGGACTCATCAGGCATTTAATTTTGCACCATCCAAAGTTCAAAATAATATTCCAATAAAATTTCTGAGACCTTTTTAGAACCAGTGTGGTACAGCAATTGTAGTTCTGCCTCAAGTAAAGCTAAACTCAAAAATTGTTCCCCCTAGAACTTGATTTACTTACCTCGCCTAATGCACTGGGGACAGGACTTCAAATTTCACTATGGAAGCAAGTGGAACTAGTGTTCTGTTAATAAATTTGGAATATGAACCTAGTTTGAGTAATGGTGACTATAAACCTACCATCAATATTTGTGTAACTCTGTATGGTTCACTACTTTTTTAGGAAGAAATTTGATCCTTAGCAGGTCTGGCCAACAGGCGATTCTTATCAGTCCTTTTGAAATGGCCTTGCGAGCCACTTTAAGGGCAGCAAATGCTGGCCTTGCCAATGATGCCCACATATCAGGAAAGAATTTTTAAACTATGTTTAGTAACGACACAAAGAAATTTGGTCTAAACGTGCCATAAATGGATGTAACTGAACAGCAAATTTTCACAGGGAACATACTTGGAAGTTTGCAAGATAGAGACCTTCACTGAGTGAATGAGTAACTGAATTGGATATAAGATAAATAGAGAGCAAAACTTGGTAAATGCTTATTAAACAATTATTTTAAATTCTGTACTTGAATCATAAAGTATTGAGAGAGGATATTTCTTTTTACAATGTAATTTTTTTGTAATGTTGTCAGATAACCGGTACAGAGAAGATTCAAGACATTGTAAGGGAATTGGACAATTAAGTGGATTGGCTAACGAACAGTGAATGGATTTTAGTGTAAGTAAATGGTAAGAAAATACAAAAGTACAGGACACATGAAAACACCTTCAGGTATTTTTTGATAACACACAAACATGAACAAATGATTTTCAGCCAACCACATTCATTCCTTTCAAGCATCATGTACCTTCAGCTCAGTCTGGTGTGGAAGTGACCTGCAAACTTGTCTGTTCTTGGTACTTCCGCGCGCGCGCACACACGCGCGCACACACACGTATCTTAAGTTTTGTTTTTTGCACTTAGAGGACCAATTCTCCATCTCTGACACTTTCATTTATGTCCATTTTACATTTCTTCGACATTAACAACCCTTTTTGTCATTTGCAATAGGCGTCCTCCTCTGTCAAAAGCCTATAATAAAGAAATATTTTCCTTAGAATCCGTACAATGTGGACACAGGCCATTCAGCCCAACAAGTCCACACCAACCCTCTGAAGAGCATCCCACACAGACCCATCCCCCTACTCTGTCCCACTAACCTTGCATTTCCTAAACCTACCCTACACTTCCTGGAACACCATGGGCAATTTAGCACGGCCAAGCCACCTAATCTGCACATTTTTGGACTGTGGGTGGAAACTGGAGCGTCCAGCGGAAACCCATGCAGACACCGGGAGAACGTGCAAATTCCATGCAGACAGTCGTCCGAGGGTGGAATCGAACCCAGGTATCTGGTGCTGTGAAGCAGCAGTGCTAACTGCAGATGCTGCCAGACTTGCTGAGTTTCTCCAGCTTTGTGTTCAATATGTTTGATGTGAAATGATCCAATTTGGATTTTTTTTTAAAATCTTACATTCTTACTTTAATTGTTCTGCTCTGTGTCAACTCTTTAAACTATTGAACATTTGGACTAAATAATTTTGAATGCTGACGACAGAAGAGACTTGACACAACCTATGACATATGGATTGAATAGAAGGGACCCAAGAATAAAGCTCTAAATAAGAATTTTTCCAATTTGATTATCATCATATAATTTTAAAGGATACAATGGCCTCCATACCATGTCCACATAACCATTGATACGTGAACCTTGATGGTGGATATCAGAAAACAATTCCATTGAGAGGACATTCCATCCAAATTCTTCCAACTTTTTGTCTTGCATCTTTAACTCACTTGCTTTCAAGAGGGAACTCTGTTCAATCAAGGAAGGTATATTGAGATTTTGCTAGCTATCTGTATTCCAGAAAGTCAAGCTAGGCAATTCCTAATCTGTGCTCAGTTTTGGACTGAACTGTAAGATGAAGTTAATTCCCCTAATATTTCAAGTTCTTTGTCTTATCTGTATCTAAAAAGATAAAAATGCTTTCAATTTTTATTACCTTTCACAGTTTTAAAAAAAAAAATATATCTTGTATGTGTTATGGGATTATCTTTATCTGACCTCTGAATTCCAGTGTATATTTAAATATTTCACTTAGCTATGATCCTTTAGATTTCTTTATTCAGTCATTTTGTATTGTTTTCACTTTTTATTTCAGTGGTTATTTCTGAGATGGCAGAAGATGTCAGTGAAGGTGAGATTGGTATTGAGAGAAGTACTACATTATTGGGACCAAATGCTGATATAAATGAGGATTCTGAAGCAGAACATCAAGTTTTCCAGGTATGATTGTGAACTAGACAAGAAACATATTTAGTCAAAGTAGATACGGATGGAAACATGCAGTAGGTGAATCAACCTGTGCAGAGGGAACTAACTTAAATGTTTTGGGGCAGACTTTTCTTTGCAAAATTTGAGCAAATGTTGAAATATTCTGTTGTTGAAATACTCTGTTGCAGGAATACAAACATGGTAGTATATCCCAATACTGCTGTACAAGTGATCACTTTGATATTTGTGTGCATTGCTAGTCCTTTAAATTTTTTGTCAATCTCCCTGGTAAGTTCCTCAGATTGCCACTTGATAGCTACCACCCCATGATGCAGCTGAGTTTGAGGTCTATTCATGTAGGTACTGTGTCCACAGTTAAGTTAAATATCCAGCTAGATTACAAGTTTGCAATCAGACTTTGAGACTGTCATTCTGATGTTATTGAACTATCTCTGCTTGCTGTTGCTGAAATACCAAGACACTTAAACTCCGCTTTTATACTTTCTTAACCTTTGAAGCAATTAGCCTGGATAGATGATGGAGATTCTGCGTTTGGAAGGAATGATCCAATCACTGTCATTCCTATCACAGTTCACATTACCGATGACTCTGCTACTTCTCAGAATCCGACAGTACAGGTGTCCCAGCAAGCACCAACTCTGTCTACTGCGCCGTTTCAGCTGATGGATCAGAATGGACAGCCGATCCAGTATGAACTTCAGTCACTGGGGGATACAAATGCACGCATGGTTAGTAACAGCACTATATGAAAATTATAGAAATCATGTATGTTTCTCATTACCTTGTGCAATAATCCTGTTTATTGCTGAACTCAAACTGCCACATGGTGATGTATAATAATCACAAAATGTGTCATTTTTATTCTCAGTTTAAAATTCTGTGAAGAAAATTCAACAGGTAACGAATTGAAGAACTGACAATTCAGTATGATAAATTCTTAGATTGCATCTAGCTTACAGTAGGGTCTGGTAATCCTTACAGCATACATCACAGAACTTTCTATCCAAAGATTTGAACATGGATTTGAATAAGAGCGTTGTAGTGAATGTGACTGCTTAAACTTATACGTACCAATGCTCTGGGAATTGAATGACTTAATAAGTGTAACTGACAACAGGAATTTGTCTTGAATCATAATATGCAATATACAGTATGGACCATATGCTGTCAACAATAATAGTTTAATTTGCAGGTGTATGTAAACTGTAGATTTACACACTTGTAAATTTTGACACACTTTAAAAATAATTGTTTAATCAATCTTCGAAATTAAGAGATTTGAGCCTTGGGAAGAAGAACCTGAAGGCAAAATTTCTTTAACAAAACTGATGCATTGCAAAGTCACGTGATCACCTTTCATTTAACTATATTCCACTAATCTGAGATAATCTTTCTTTTACTTATTTTAATCCATTATGTTTGACGTGGGTTTTTTTTTAAAAATTCCTTCACAGGTTGTGGGCATGATTGGCCAGGCCACCATTTGTTATCTATCCCTAATTAACCCAGAAGGCAGTTAAGTGCTAACCACACTGTTGCTCCTCTGGAATCACATGTAGGATGGCAGTTTCATTTCCTAAAGAACAGTAGTGAACCAGATGGGTTTTTCTCTGATAGTAGGCAATGTTTTCATGGTCATCATTAAACTTTTAATTCCAGATATTTATTGAATTCAGATTCCACCATCTGTGGTGGCAGGATTTAAACCTGGATGCCCAGAACATTAGCTAAATTTGTAGATTAATAGTCTAGCGATGTTACCACTAGGCCATCACCTCCATGGTGATTTACCAAACTTGCTATCATTGTCTCTTTATCGCTTTGGTTTTAGGACTTTAAGTTCTCCTTTCTAGAATTATTGAGGTATTTTTAGGAAAAAAGTTTCACAAATTTTTCAATTCTTGCTTTTAAGTCTTCAATTTTGGCTGACAAGTTTGTAGCTATTTACTTTGTATTGTTTATATTGTCTTGAATTATGGCTTGGGCAGGCATGCCTTCATCAGGGTCGTTTTAGTCATAATCTGCATTAACTACAACAGTTCCTCACCAATTAATGAGGTCCAGTGGGAAGGGGTAAATAGCAGTGAGAAAGAATATATAATGAAAAGCATATTCCCAAGGGCACATTCTCAGTGCAATTAAAATGAAAGCATAAAATGCTCAAATTACTCAAGTTCAGGGAGGTGGGGATTATTCCCTATGGAACACTCAGTGACCCCTAATGCCACTTTGCTGCTCGAATGCAGAAAATGCAACATCTGCCCATTTCCCTCTTCCCATCCTATCTAGAGCCCTGAACTCTGATTTTTGGTGGATAAAGGGATTTGCCTGTACTGCTTTCAATTCAGTATGTATTTCTTTTTCTGCTGATGATCCTGTCTCTTTTATATTGGCATAGCCAAGCATAGATTGGGTGACTACTTTTGCAGAATGTTTTTCTTTAGTCTGCAAGCATGTCCTCTATCATTGTGGTTGTTTAGCTCAGTTGTTGGATGGCTGGTTTGTGATGTAGAGTCATGCCAATAGCATTGATTCAATTCCTGCACTGGCTGAGGACTCTTCTCAACGTCTTCCTTTGCCTGAGGCACAGAGACCCTCAGGTTAAACCACTACCAGTCATCTGTGTCTGAGAGAGCCGACCTATGGTCTGGTAAGACTGTTGCAACCTTTATCTTTTTGTTTGCGTATACCATCTATTATTTTAATTTTCTGCAACACTCCCGCACTGACACATCTGTCCTTGGCCACTGTTCCGATGAACCTTTATGTATGCTTAGGGATTAGCACTTTGTATTTCAGTTAGACACTTCACAATGTATGAACTCTTGAGTTCAACAATTTTCTATTAAAACCTTTGTCCGTTTTGTTTTGGTTTACAACTGTTGTTAATAATTGTGTTTTTCCATTTTTGAGTTCTTCTCGATCAATCTTTTATTTAATTTCTCCCGTCATCCCTTTTGTCTTGCACCATCACCCCTCTTGTTCTCCCCTGCCTTTTGACCCAATCTCAGATCTTCCCTTTCACTCTTCCATGGTCAACTTGTATAGTCTCTGCACGAGAACCAATTAACCTAATGCTTTTGAAATTTGATATTTTGTCAACAACTCTTTCTACAAATGCTGCCAGACCTCCTGAGTATTACTAGCAGTTTCTGTTCATTTTTCACATTTCCAGCAGTATTTTGTTTTTATATCAGAGTAATTGACATAATGTTTTTTTGGAATCTTGATTATAAAAGTATTTGATTAATCTCTAAGCAATGAGACCTTGGGATTCATCTTGGTAAAACACACCAGAATGGACAAAAATTGTGTGGTTGGAATTATGTATCGGATGCACTGGTAAATTATAATTTGACATACACACTTGGTACGGTCAGATAGAAAGGAGAAGGATGCCGCCTAATGGTGGTCATGCATTAGCACCTGTAAATTTTTTTAGAGTTCCTATTTTGCAGTCGTCTTTTACAGTACCTGGACCGGTCTTAATACTTCTAAAATAGTACTGATCCTTTTTCTGTCAAAAACGTGTTGCAGGCTAGTTGTAAATTTATACCAGATCATATTGCTGTCATTTGACTTCCAAATGGTCCTGGACTGGAAGTCACCCCATTACTTTCCCTTGACCTTCGTCATTTTTTTAGGCTCAGTTCTTCATTCCTGATTAATCTTATGTTTCTGTCAATTTAGGTCATTTTTACCTATCTGTGGGTTATTGACCACTTAAACTGGATGAAAGAATAATATCCTTCATTGCTTGCAGCCTTTGGGTAAATAATTAAAGTGGTAGCAAAGATCATCTAATAAATCAGGTGCTAGGGCATTGGTTTAGAGTCAAGGAAATACACAGCAAGGAAAGAGACCTTTCGGTCTAACTTGTCCATATCAACCAAATATTCTATATAAATCTAGCTCCATTTGCCAGCAATTGGCCCATGTCCCTCTAAACCCTTCCTATTTATATACCCATCCAGATGCCTTTTAAATATCGTAACTGTACCAGCTTCCACCACTTTCTCTGGCAGCTCATTTCCATATGTGTATCACCCTCTATGTGGAAAAAGTTGCCGTTAGGCCCCTTTTATAACTTTCCCCTCTCACCTTAAACCTATGCCCTCTAGTTTGGACTCCCCACCCTGGTGAAAAGACCTTGTCTATTTGCCTTATGCCTGCCTTTCATGATTTTATAAATCTCTATAAGGTCACCCCTCAGCCTCTGATGCTCCAGGGAAAACAGCCCCAACCTATTCAGCATCTCCCTGTAGCTCAAACCCTTCAATCCTGGCAGCATCCTCAAATCTTTTCTGAACGTGTTCTAGTTTCCCAACATCCTCCCTATCAGAGGGAGACCAGAATTGCTCGCAATAGTCCAAAAGTGGCCAAACCAATGTCCGGTACAGCCTCAACATGACCTCCCAACTCCTATACTTAATGCAATGATGAATGAAGGCAAGCATACCAAATGCTGCCTTCACTATTGTATCTACTGAAAAGCTACGCAGGCCTCACCAATGGATTGCTGCCTACTGAATTGAATGTAATTCATCATTTTAAAACTTAAGACTTGTTTGTAATTATGTTAAATGGTCACCTTTAAATTCTTCTCTGCTGTTCCTAATGAACAGTAGATTATCAACTTTGTGGTTTCTGCTATTTCTCCCATATGGATTACGAGCAAAAATAGGCCACTTGGCCCTTTAATCTGCTGTGCCATTCAATTAGATCATGGCTGATCTGTTTCTTTTGAATTCTGCATTCCCCTCTACGTCGATAATCTTTGAGTTCCCTGTTGAACAAGAATCTGTCTACCTCAGCCTTGAAAATATTCAATGTCCCTGTCCCAACTCACTTCTGAGGCAGAGTTCCAAATGCGCATAACCTTTTAGATGAGAAAATTATTCGTCATATCTCTCCTAAAAGGGCAACCTTTAATTTTAAAACAGTGCATCTTAGTGCAAGGCATCCACATTGTTAAGACCATTCAGGATCTTATGCCCTTCAAACAGGACACCCTTCATTCTTCTAAACTCCAGTGGAAACAAACCCACCCTATCAGCTCATTCCAGATATTGGTCTAGTGACTACTTCTGAATGTATTTACATCCAGATTTTTGCCCTCATTCGACTCATCTATATTAGTTTCCTTCCTTATCTTCGCAAGTACTTTCCTACTTACGTTGTGTCACCTGTAAACTTAGCCACCATGCCTTTGATCCTCTTTATGTAAGTCATTGATATAAGTTATAAAAAGTTGAGGGCTGTGCATAGATTGTTGCGGGGTCCCACTCGTCACTTCCTGCAATCTGAAGACCTATTTATGCATACTTTTTTCTGCCAGCTAGCCAATCGGTGAGGAGAGGCGACAACAGCTCCTCCACAATAATCCTCAGCACTGGTGCACTGCAAGGCTGCATACTCAACCCCTTACTATACTCTTTATACACTTACGAACAAATTCAGCTCTAACTCCATTTACAGATTTGCTGATGACACCGCTGTGGTGGGTTGGATTTTAAGCAACAACAAGACAGAGTACAGGAAGAAGATTAGACACCATAGTGGCATGATGTAAAGACAACAATCTCTCCTTTGATGTCAGCAAAACGAAGGAGCTGGTTGTCGACTTCAGGAAGCGAAGTGGAGGACGTGTCCCTTTCTATATCAATGGTGTTGAGATGGAGGTGGTAGAGAACTTCAAGTTTCTAAGAGTAAATGTCACAAACGATCTATCCTCGTCCAGCTATGTTGACGTTGCAGTCAAGAAATCACACCAATGCCTCTGCTTCCTCAGAAGGCTAAGGAAATTCAGTATGTTCACAATGACCCTTACCAATTTTTATAGTTGCACCACAGAAAGCATCCTATCTGGATGTATCACAGCTTGGTTTCACAACTGCTGTGCCCAAGACTCTAAGAAACAGTGGAAATGTGAACGCAGCCCAGTCCATCATGAAAACCAGCTTTCCTTCCGTTGACGCCATCTATACTTCCCGCTGCCTTGGAAAAGCTGCTAACATCATCAAAGAACCCTCCACCCCGGATATTCTCTCTTCTGTTCTCCTCCTCTGGGCAGAAGATACAAAAGCTTGAAAACATGTGCCAACAAATTTTAAGAACACCTTCTTCCCTACTGTTATCAGACTTATGAACGGACCTCTCATTAGAGTTGAACTTTCTCTGCACCTTCGCTGTAGCTGTAACACTGTATTCTGTATTCTGTTCTGTTAACCTGATGTACTTACGTAAGGTACTATTTGTCTGGTTAGCACACAATACAATACTTTTCCCTGAATCTGAATACTTGTGACAATAATAAATCAAATCGGTACGTCAAGTCCTATGCCTTCGGTTCCTACTTTGCACGATAACATTTTATGTAACGCCTTGTCAAATGCCTTCTGAACTGTGTGGTTGGTTTGCTCACCAAGCTGGTTCATTAGTTCGCAGACGTTTCATTACCCTGCTGGGTAACATCATCAGTGCAGCCTCCGATGAAGCGCTGTTGTGTTTTCCTGCCTGGTATTTAATCGCTGGTGTCTGTTGGATTTGATTACCTCATTTCCGGTTTTCCTTCGCAGTGGTGTATATGTAAGGCTAAGTTTTATGTGTTTGTTGTTGGCCTTCTTGGTGGAGAACCAGGCCTCTAGGAATTCCCGTGCTTGTCTTTGTTTGGCCTGTCCTAGGATCCTGGTGTTGTCCCGATCGAACTGGTGGCTCTCCTTATCCTTGTGAATGGAGATGAGTGAGTATTGGTCGTGTCTTTTTGTTGCTGGTTGGTGTTCATGTAATCTTGTGGCCAATTTTCTTCCTGCCTGTCCAATGTAATGTTTGTCGCAGTCCTTGCATGGAATTTTGTATAATACGTTGGTTCTGTCCACAGTGAGTATAAGGGGTCTTTGGTTTGAGTTGGCGTAGTGTTGATTTGGGTTTGTGTGCTACTCTGATGCCCAATGGTCGAAGGAGTCTTGTGGTCAGTTCGGATATGTTCTTGATGTATGGTAGTGTGATGAGTGTGTTAGGGCATGCAGCATCTTCCTGTTGTTATTCGTGTGATAGGCATCGTTGGATCCAGTTGTTCAGCTATCTGTTGTCCTTAAATACTTGGTGGAGGTACTCTTCTTTTTGGTGTAGTTCCGGGTTGGTACGGTGTAGTTCCGGGTTGGTACAGTGTGTTGTCCCTCATTTAAATAGTGTTTTCACGCACCTTCATTTGTGGGTATTAGGGTGATTACTGTTGAAATTCAGTACTTGATCAGTGTGTGTGGCTTTTCTGTACCTTCGTCAGGAATTCCCGTTTGGCCCTGCGTTTTACCATGACGTCCAGGAATGGGAGCTGTTCATTTTTTTTTCCCCCTCTTCCCTGGTGAATTTGATGCGTGTGAGTGTGTTGTTTATTAGTTGGTGCGTCTCCTCTAATTTGGTCCGTTTGATGACAAATGTGTCGTCCATGTATCAGATCCATAGTTTGGGTTGGATTTGCGGAAGGGCCATGCTTTCGAGTCTCTGCATCACCACTTCTGCTATTAGTCCGGAGATAGGTGACCCCACCTACTGAAGAACCTTCTGGAAACCCAAGTGCAGTACTTGAACAGGCTCCCCTTATCCACAGTATACCTTACACTTACTCCTTTTGAAGGATTCGAATAAATTAGTTAGACCCAATTTCACTTTCGCAAAAAGCATGCTGATTCCTCCCATTTACCTTGAGCTTATCTAAGTACTTAGTTGCAATGTCGATGATTCTAATCCCTGCCCCCCCACCGCCATGCTAGTGTCGGATGTCATGCTAATACTGGCATATTTTCATGATTAACCTTTTAGTCATTTCTGCCATTCTTTATATTCTAAATAGTCACTAGATTTGATACTGAACTTGACATAATTATTTCTTTACTTGATGCTTTCCTTAACTTCTGTGGCTAATTGTGCATGATGGATCCTCCCCTTTTAGAATTTTCCTTTATAGTAGGAAAGTACTTATCCATTTACATTTTTGCCACAGATTCCTGCTGATATATCTCCTCTAATATCCCATTTCACATCAGTTAGCTCAGCTTTCATGCCTACATAGTTGCCCTTATTTAAGTTTAAAATACTAGTCCTAAACCCAATCTTCTCATGTCAAATTGGATGTAAAGTTCAGACATGTTACAATCGCTGCTCATGAAGGTTCCATTACTCTGAGGTCAATAATCTGGTCACACAACACAATACCAAGTCTGGTATAGCCAGACTCGGAACGTGCCACTTTAAGAAACTATTTCAAAGAATTCCGTGAATTCCTCATCAAGGCTACAATTGCCAAACTAATTTTTCCAATTTATATGTAGATTGACATCACCTGTGATTATTACCATTCTTTTATCTCGAGCACCCAATATTACTTCCTATATACACACATACATTCTAGTTACTGTTTGGAGGCCTGTAGATCACTCCCATTAGTGACTTCTTTCCCCTACTAATTCTAAGTTTCATCAAAATGAATTCCACATCCTTATCTCGTGACACAAGATCATTTGTGACTATTCATCAGTCCACTCTTTAATTAGGGGTGTTACTCCTCTGGTATTACTGAGCTTTCTATTATTCTTGATTGTCGTGTACCCCTCAATATTCAGAGCCCACTTATTGACATCCTGCAGCCATGTTTCCTTAATGGCTATCAGATGATATTTATTCACTTCACTATCTGCTATCTGTTCATTTACTTTATTATTAATGCTGAACACATTCAGATACAGAGCTGTTACTTTTGTGTTTTTATCTTAATAGCATCTAGTGTAGACTACTGGTATGCTATTTGGTTTCTTTCTCTGCTTTTGTACCATTCTCTGACCTTCGTTTTTAATACTAGTGTTTTGTTTTTCTGCCTTGACTCTATCTCCTGCTTTGTTACATTTGCCTAAGCTTGATCCCTCAATCTCTTGCTTAGTTTATTGGATGTCTTCTTCCCTAGTTATGCTGGGTTGTGAGAACACCAGCATGGTTCAGGCTGTCCCAGCAGTACCTATCCAACTTTCCCAATATTAGTAACTGTGTCCTACAAACTGGAACCCACTTCTCCCAGAGATAGTAAGAACTGCCGATGCTGGAATCAGAGATAACACGGTATGGAGCTGGAGGAACACAGCAGGCCAAGCAGCCTCAGAGGAGCAGGAAAGCTGACGTTTCGGTCGGGACCTTTCTTCAGAAATCTGAAGGGCATTTCTGAAGAAGGGTCCCGACCCAAAACGTCAGCTTCCCTGCTCCTCTAATGCTGCCTGGCCTGCTGTGTTCCTCTAGCTCCACATTGTGTTGCCCCACTTCTCCCAGACTAGTCTTTGAGCCACACATTCACCTGTGCCAACTTACATGAAGCTCAGGTAGTAATTTCGATCTTCTCTCGCTATGTTTCTAAAGATGATCAAGAATTAGTATAAATTGACTCGTTATCTGCCTTTGCATTGTCATGGCATCTAGGCGGCGTGCTAATTTCACATGATCCATCCCATATTAATGGTTACTTCCAGATGATTGTTACCAGTCAGTCAGAGAATGGCCAGGTGCTGCATGTGATTCCTTCCAACCCACCCAGCGTTACTCAGGTGCTGATACCACAGGGACAGATTCTCGATGTCACAGATTCACATGGTAAGATAACTTGCTATATGTACTCTCCATCATCTGGCATTTCACATTAACACTGAGTGTGCCAGTTGTATATGCAGAAAAAAAGACCACTGGAGCCCAGGCATTCATTTCTCCATCCTTCGGCTGGGTAATTGTCCACCAAATTATACCATATAGTGCAAAGAATTGGGGATAGGGGAAAAAGTGAAAAGAAAGCAATTACGATACAACCCAATTCATTTCCTACGCAATTGCAATTTCACACAAGGAAATTGTTTTTCATTTTAATGTAATTGCTATTTTATATAAATTATATAGTCATTATTGTCCGCAATAAAATAGGGGGGAAAAAGCACAACTTGAATTTAAATTGCTTCAATTAGTGCTTGATCTAAACTTTATCACGCTGGTGAATAGCTGTCAAGCAAGTGTTATTTGTTGACAAGCCATCTTTGAAGTACAGAAGGAGAGCACTCTTATCCTAGTTGAGAAAAAGCATATCATAACTTTTGAAATAAAGCTAAATGGAGGCTAAAGGCCAAATTTGAAAGGACCAGAACGGTTATTATTAGCACATTCATTTGCCTCAGCACTATTTGATCGCAATTCTTTCAGTAAAAATAGAAACAACTATAATGCCTCAGAGCCATACAGCTTGGAAACGAACCCTTTGACTCAGTCCATCCATGCTGAACATAATCCCAAACTGAATTAGTTCTACTTGCCTGCTCCTGGCCCATATCCCTCCAAATCTTTCCTATTCATGTACTTATCCAAATATCTTTTAAGCATTGTAATTGTGCCCACATCCACTACTTTCTCAGGAAGTTCATTCTGCATGCGAACCACTCTCTGAGTAAAAAAAATTGCCCCTCATTTCTTTTTTTAGAAATCTCTCTCCTCTTTCACCTTACAAGTGTGCCCCCTAGTATTGAAATCCCCCATTCTAGGGAAAAGATACCTACCATCAACCCTATCTATACCCCTCATGATTTTATGAAATTCTGTAAGGTCACCTTTCAGCGTCCTACACTTAGGTGAAAAATCTACTGTTTTGGTTTATTTGAATATAGGAACAGATGTGGGCCGTTCAGTGCTCGAGCCTATTCTGCTAATTAATGAAATCATGGGTGATCTGTAGCTTAACTCCTTATACCTACCTTTGGCCAATATCTCGTAATACCTGTGCTTAACAAAAACTTGAGATTTAAAACTATCGACAGGTCTAGCATCATCTGTTGTAGAAGAGAGTTCCCAACCTCTACCACCCTTTGTGTAGAAGTGCTTCCTAACATCCCTCCTGAATAGTCTGGCCCTAATTTTTAGACTCTCCCCCCCCCCCCCCCCCCCCCCTCCCCCAGTTCTAGAATCTCGAAGCAGTGGAAATAGTTTCTTTCCCTACCCTGTATTTTCCTGTTAATACCTTGAAGAGTCGCAGAGATGTAGAGCACGGAAACAGATGCTTTGGTCCAACTCATCCATACCAACCAGATATCTCGAATCAATCTAGTCCCATTTGCCAGAATTGGCCCATATCCCTCTAAACCCTTTCTATTCATCTACCCATCGAAATGCCTTTTAAATGTTGTAATTATACTAGCCTCCACCACTTCCTCTGGCAGCTCATTCTAAATGTGTACCACCCTCTGCATGAAAAAGTTGTCCCTTTTATATCTTTTTCCTCTGACCTTCAACCTACGCTCACTAGTTTTGGACTGTCCCACCCTGGGGAAAAGACTTTGGGTATTCACCATATCCATGCACCTCATGATTTTATAAACCTCTATCAGGTCACCCCTCAGCCTCTGACGCTCCAGGGAATATAGCCCCAGCCTCATCAGCTCTCCGTAGAGCTCAAACCCTCTAAACCTGGCAACATCCTTGTAAAGGGATAGTAGGAACTGCAGATGCTGGAGAATCCGAGACAACAAGGTGCCGAGCTGGATGAACACAGCAGGCCAAGCAGCATCATAGGAGCAGAAAGGCTGACGTT